ATGTATGTCATATTTGATGATTACTGGCAGAAGAACACAAACTGGTCGTGCATTTTATTCTGTATCATGTTGAAGCTGTAGTTCCAGTCTGAAAATGATCTGTTAACCTCTGGCATAGGAAGATGTATGGCACAGTAGCCTCAGTTCAGTTTACAATTAACTGTGTATGTTTCAGGAATCTAGATGTGAAAAGACAAGCATTGTTTAGCTGGGTGTGTGTGTGAGATGTTTGCAGTGAGAGATCATCCCAGCCCCGAGGCTCTCTTTAAAACACAGATAGTCCCAAACAACGCCTTTCTCTGCCCTTGTGAAGGAGCGTTGCAGGGGTAAAACACAGGACACAGAGATTCACAATCTAATATGATCCAGACATTAAGACACTAAAGTGATGTGTTCGTGCCTTTGTGCAATTGAGTGGAATGTTGAGTGGAATGTTTTGGTCTGGAAAAGACAAATGCATTTAGACAGATGAGTCTTTTTTTTCTTTGTGGTGTCATTTGGAAATTAAGTAAAGACTTAGCATGAAGGTTATTGGCCAGTTACCCTGAAACTAACAGAGAACACACACTCACACACAAGCAATAGGTTATACAAGTAGGGGAAAAGCTTGATATTTGTATTTAATTTTAATTTTTTTATTTTATATGGGTCTTATTAAGATTTAGGTCCCGCTTAATTTCAGTAGATATTTTAAGTCAATCAATAAATCAAAGTTTTAATCAGGAACAATGTATTAAATTGATGAAAATAAAGTGACAATAAAGACTTTTACATTGTTACAACAAAAAGTCTAGTTCTTTTTAACTCTCTATTCATCAAATTTTTTTTGACAAAAATGTATCACTGTTTCCACAAAAATATTAAGCAGCATTACTGTTTTCAACATTGATAATAATAAGAAATGTTTATTGGAGCCCTGACAAGCTATGGCTTTTGAAGATGTAGACGTAGTTGACATTCAACTAATATTATATGTTATATTGAAATGTACAGTAGCTATAGAAAAAAACGTATGTAAATATGAATATTTTAGGTGCACTCACTGTTAGTTGCACTGTTTTTAACTATTTTGATCACTTTTAACCTTGCATTGCATTTAAATAAAAAAAAAATCTATTTTTCGATATCTCTCAATAATAATTAAATAATAATTTAAGAAAGTTTTAGATTAGTGTCACACTGTGTCATGTTCACCCGCCTGCTGTAACTGTAGCTGTGGATTTGATGTATCTTTGTGACTGTACACCTCTTTTCTTTTATCCGTTTAATATAACTGATGATTGATATGATGTTTTTCAAAAACATTCAAAAGTGGCAATGAAAAGAGTGCAACGAACTTTACTTTAATACGTCAATAATTGAACTTTAGTTTTAGTGGGCTGATTTTTTTATTTTTATAATGCATCATTGTAAACTTGCATTTACAAATATATTCGAGTGTGACCCCTATCCGGGTTGGAGCAAAGAGGTCCTTTTACATGTTAAGTTAGAAAACGAGAAAGGGGGTTATAAATTATAAAATTATAAATGGAAGGAACGGCCAACTGCTGAGAGTGAACATCAAACCATATCTTCAGTCACTTCGCTTCTGTTTCGGTCTTATCAGTGCGTTTCGCAGTCTCTCCTCAGAGCAGAAACATTGTTCTTGAGTTTAATCATAATGGCATTTTTTCCAGAGTTCTGAAACACGTGCGGGGGTTATTTGGTTTTAGAGTCTAAACTAAACCAGGGGCGCTTGCATTTCTCCAGTGTGGCGTTTGCCTCTTTATTTATGATGTCTTTTCTTCCACCGATGTGGAAAATTTCTGACTTGGATTTTTCACTCCGAAATTGATTTGACACGGATATCCAATATCCCTTTAAAGATAATCAAACTGAGTCTCTCCTCATTCCGCTTATATCCCCACTCACTTTATGACTGTATCGAGTTACCACGAGCCTGTTGTGAGCAATAGACATTCTTCAATCTGAAAACATTATTATAGTGTTTATTGCACTGTAAGCGAGGGGAAAGAGCTCATGTTCGCCCGAAACATTTGTTCATATAGCAGGATTTTCTGAGATATGCAATGCAAAGAATTAATTAAAGTTTGTTGTGCCAATGCTATAAGATCCATCACCTCTCTCTCTCTCTCTCTCTCTCTCTCTCTCTCACACACACACACACACACACACAAAATGCGCAACCAGGCCACATAAGCGGTCAGTTGCGCCAAAAGTGGCCTATACCAACACGGCCACGAGTACTTAATAAAAATTCATAAAAGTCTTAACACAGCCATACAGATACTTTTTTTTCCCCAGCTCACGTTGAGATAATCTTATCCTCATACGCAAAGGAGGTTGTATTATTAATACAAACAGGCGAAATAGTTTTGTCAGCAATCCGATGCGCCTTCCGGTAAATTCTAAATAAGTTTATTTCTATTCAAGTCATGATTATGATTCATAACACTTGATCGTGCAGACTACTTTAGGCTAAATCAACGACATAGTTTTATGGGGTCCAGTCACTTAGAAATTATTTTCTTAGATAGCACCTTTACTTTTTCACTTTTATATTTGTGCATGTAATATAATAACTGCTGTAACTTTTTTTGCTGTACATTTTTAAACTTAGTTGTAAAATTTGTGTGAAATATTATTAGTACATGAACATCATTAAATGAACATCATTTCCCCAATGGGCGATTGGGGAAAAGTTAAGTGTTTTTTGACGTATAATAATAACAACAACAATAATAATAATAATAATAATAATAACAACAACAACAACAACGATGCTAGTCATTTGCGTGGTGTTTTTCAATTTATTCTTTAGCTTACAAATGAATGCATACTGCTAAATCAGCGACAACAAAACAGCAAACTTTTTCTTCTTCCTCCTTTTCATGTTGTTATAACGTTTAATAAATAAAATACATAATAAAAAATATAATCCAAAAATCTAAAATAATAATAATAATAATAATTTTAATAGGAATATGCAGTATAGGAATTGTTATTATAAATGTTTTCTGGATTTTATGGGGTTTTCGATAGATAGATAGATATATAGATAGATAGATAGATAGATAGATAGATAGATAGATAGATAGATAGATAGATAGATAGATAGATAGATATATACGTCATGCATCTCACGTGGGAAATTTCCAATAATTGCAATAATATCACTTTTGATGTTTTGTCCCTCAGGCCAATCCGGCAGAAGCGGTCAGATGTCAATTAAAGTCAGCATGGGCGGCTGCGGCGCTGCTCTTGTTCTGAGGGCAGCCTGGCCTGTGGCGCACGGGCTCCTCTGCGCTAATCCGTTTATGGAGCACCTGGGACCGCGGACGGCAATAACATGCGCTTATCCGTCGCCAGCGCGAAACATGCACATCTGAGCACAGCAATGCGATAATGCCCACATCCCAGAGGACCAGAGGGCCACTTTACCCCCTGATTGAACTGTCGACGTCTCTGAATTGATAGCTCTAAAATGACAGCCAGCGTATTTGACACATTAGCCTGATGGAAATCGGTCAAAAGCGGACGAGGGCATTATCGGTTTCAGTCTGTTTTAGCATCAGTTTTTGAAGGAAATGAATTTAAACTCATTTGATATGTTCAGAGCGGGTTCTTCTGTTTGAACGTGTGATAGTTTTTCTGTTTGATTGATCAGGGTTCTCTCTGAATGAACGGGGGGGCCGTTTGACTGACGTGAGTTTCTCAATGAGCTCCTGCAAAGAAAAGGTGGGTTCTTCTGTTTGAACGTGTGATAGTTTTTCTGTTTGATTGATCAGGGTTCTCTCTGAATGAACGGGGGGCCGTTTGACTGACGTGAGTTTCTCAATGAGCTCCTGCAAAGAAAAGGAACTTCAGTGACTTCGGGGAACAGAGGAGGGGCATCTGAATGTGAGATGGAGAGAGTGAGTGTGTGTGAGAGAGAAATGCGGAGTCATGCAAGAGAATGAGTGGGATGGATGACTATATTGAATGTCTCTGCGTTATAAATAACGCTTCTTCACAATTGTATCGGTCTCCACAGACAGCTTTTACGGCACTCTCGGCGTCATACCCTGCTGAGACCCCCGCAAGCTGCTCCTTTCATTCTGTAGAGACTCTACTGTCCACTTGCATACAATAAATACCTCTGTGCAGTGCAGCGTTTGGGGTTTTACTTGAAAGTTAGGGTTTGCAGAGGATTCATGTTCAATAGGCTACCAATAAATAAAATACGGTTGTGGCAGGAGAAAGCAAAATGGAGAAACTCGGCAGTGTTTCCCAACTCTGTTCCTGGAAGCTTCCCAACTCGTCCCAACTCGTCTACATTGTCTGACACTTCCATCTCAGGTCTAATAGTCTCTATTAACCATTTATTTGTTTAATAAGGTGCATTTGATCAGCAAGACATCCAAATTGTCTCCTTTTGGATGGCTCTCGGAAACACCTCTCCACGTCTCCAAACCACTGCATTGAACAAAACTGAAATGTTTTCAATTACTTGAAGAAAACATCACTATTATCTTCCAGATTGTTCTCAGCATCACCGTTTATGTCTGAGGGTGTTATCGGTGACAAATCCCCTTGAACTCCCGAGGTCACAGCTCAAGAAAGTGGAAGGATTTGGACCAATCAGAAGGCTTTCCCAAGTCTTTGGACCCTCCCTCTTTGACCAATCGCAGTCGTCGACGAGTAGAAGCAGCCAACAACTCAACAACTGATAAAATGTTTCGCCCCTGATCACCGTTCCAATTCTCAACAACAAGTGTGTCAACAACAACTGAACGAAGCTCTGAGAGTTTGATCTTCCAAACTGCGTTGAGATAAACCACGACTGAAGATCTTCCGAGGATTGGCAGCGACGGTTTGAAGTTGACTTTTCGTTTTCAGCTGAATGAAGACTTGGTACTTCAGCAATCCAGTGACACTTGACGATCAGCGCTTCTTCTTTGGATAACATCAGTTTTTCTATCAAGTGCTCCGTGCACCCGTTTCTTTCTTGCAGAGGAGATATGACCGCATTAGCGGGGGGCATTTCCATGATGATGCGCCCCACGCCACCCCAAAACTACCCGAGAGGAGGCTTTTCCTTGGAGGGTAAGGTGTTCGTTTCTGTGGTTACGACAGAACAGTCTGAACTTAGAAGTATTCACAAAGTTGACTCTTTATAAGACAGATTTGATCTGATGAACTTGCTAAGAGTGAAAACTTAGGTTTAATTATTTTGTCATGTGAATGTGATGATGTGATGTGAAATTACAGCGTCCAACCACTTGGAATGACTTTACTATTTCAAGCTGAAACAAAAAAAAACATTTAATTTTTTAACTATTAAATCTTTAATGTAGTCTAATGTACTGAAGCTTATTTAATGCAAAGCTAACATTTTGTACAAAAAAGGCTTTCCGCCATAATGTTAGTTTACATATAAAATTGTACAAGCTTGTCAACTTTGATATACTTTTAAAATATATAAATACAAATGTATAATATAAAAAGTGCTCTGTCAACGAGTAACATCTTTGCAAATTATTACTATTAATTACATTTTTTATTAGTACATTTTAGTATTAGTAGTAGTATTTATAAATTGTTATCTTTTATTAGTAGTAGTATTAGTTTTATTGTTGTTGTGTTGTAGTTGTTTTTGCATTATAAGAATAGAACATATCTGTCATGCTTTTGATTATGTTTTCCCTTTTAACAAAGCATTAAAGCAAACTTTTAGTGATGCAAGTTAGGAAAAAAGACTTTGTAAAGAAAGATATAACGGCACACTTCAGTTTATGAGTTTATGTGCGCTTATATATCTTGCTTTATTAAATATATTTTCACTTTAGCATAACGAAATCGTTATATAAATTGTTAGTCACTGACACAACCTCTCCCCCTTCTTACTGCAGTCTCAACGCCGTTAGGTCAGGGCCGCGTGAACCAGCTCGGTGGAGTCTTCATAAACGGACGCCCTCTGCCCAATCACATCCGCCACAAGATAGTAGAGATGGCCCATCACGGGATACGACCGTGCGTCATCTCCCGACAGCTGCGCGTGTCGCACGGATGCGTTTCCAAAATTTTATGCAGGTACCAGGAGACCGGATCCATTCGGCCCGGTGCTATTGGTGGCAGCAAACCCAAGGTAGGACATCACCGAGGCCATTTAATGTCCTGCTAGGGCTGAATTGTATTACTGAATTGATCAGAAAGCTCATCCCAGTTTCACATTTAAATATGGAGTTTTGCAAATGAAGTGTGGTGTTTGACTTAACGACTAAAAAAAATATGCTTGGTGTTTTTTCAGTGTCCATGTTTTTTTTAAGGGTGTACACAGACTATGATGTTGCACCTTACGTTCAGCAAATAATTTCCACAATAAACAATTTTAATTGTATAGAGTCAATGTTCTGTGTATACACTCTAAAAAATGCTGGGTTGTTTCAACCCAATGTTGGGTCAAATATGGACTAACCCAACTGTTGGGTTAAAAAGCTCATTTAAAAATGTAACCAACATTTAACCCAACAGTTGGGTTAGTCCATATTTGACCCAACATTGGGTTGAAACAACCAAGCATTTTTTAGAGTGTAGAATCTATTGTTCTTAATATCCTAAAAAGTTCTTATAGGTTCTTCAGATCAGTTAATTTGTCTCCAAAGCACCAATGCATAGATGTTTCTTAAAGAATTAGAGAATAAGAAATTCTAAAAAGTTAAATCCTTATTTTTAAGAGATTTTAAGACAGACTTTTTGCCTTGTTTAATATATCCTATGACTTAAAACAATGAATTAAACACCATAGTAATCCAGTGTTAATTAATTGTACAGAACGTCTTGTGAATAGTCACATAATTATAACTAAATGGAAACTGGCGATTTTATCTAGACAGTCTTGTTAAAATCGTTTGTAGATATTTTGTAAGTTCTCATAAAATGGTATAAAGATATACAAATTTAATGATTATGTAACTATTGTAATGAAAGCAGAGCACAACTCCCGATGTGGAAAAGCAAATCGAAGAATACAAGAGAGAGAATCCAGGGATGTTCAGCTGGGAGATTCGGGATAAACTTCTGAAAGATGGAATCTGCGATCGAAATAACGTGCCCTCAGGTACTGAAATGTATCTGGCAATCTGTGCAGTTTAGTTGATGTTTTTAAGATATTGCTTCCAGCACCTGTTTCTTGGAGAAAAAAACAATGCAAAAACAAAACAAAGCAAAACAGATGGCTTGTGACTTTAAAGCAACCCTATATTGTTATATATATATATATATTTCCTATAGGCTGTAAAATCGTTTTAAATGCCTCGTGGTTACGGATTGAAATTGTATACCTGCACGCTTTCAAGCGTTTAAACATTCAACAAGTGGAATTCTATAATGTCAATTGATGAAGCTTTTTTTGTCTCTCCGCAGTGAGTTCCATCAGCCGCATGCTGCGCTGTAGATTTGGTGGAAACGGAGATGAGGATGAGGATGATGATGAAGTGGAAAAAAGGGAGATCGAGGAAAACGAAAGAAGAGCCAAACACAGCATCGACGGGATTCTCGGCGACAGATGTAAGTTCTGAGGAGTTTTATGTTTTTTTTATGCGGAACTGAGATGAGCACCATGAGTTTACAGGTATCTACATACATTTTATTATGGATATACAATATTTAGGCCTATATATGTATAGGTAATACAATGTGTTCTACTCCTTTAATAATAATAATAATAGTAATAACATTATTATTAATTATTATTAATGCTAATATGTGTTCTGTTAAAATAATATTTAATTTTTTTTGGAAAAGTAGCGTAGGTACCGTATGAAAATCGTTTTTAATGTTTCAGTTTGATTCTTTTGCCCCCAAATGCTTAACAGATTGATGGGAAAATGGCTCATGTCTTCAGTATATTTTTAGCGTTTTTTGTGTCTTTCCTGAAACTCGTTGAAACTGAATTGAGGAGCATCAGAGATTAACCTCCTAAAACGAGACGTTCCTGGAGTGAAACTGGCCGAATCAGTAAATCAAACATTTGTCCAAGAATAGCGTTCACTAAAAGACGCTCCTGCGGTGCACAATCGGACACTTGAGGATGAACTTGGGAAACAAAAGCGAAAGAGTCCATGAGACTCACGCTTCAGTTTCCCCAGGACAAAGATCGGCCTAGCAGTAGCTTGGTCCTGACAAAAGACTCCAAGCTTTTCAAAATTTGGAAAGAAAGGAAGAAAAAACGGTCCAACAAAAGGCTAGAGAGGACATTATGGACGGGCAATGAGAGATGAATTATTCACGAATGACCGTAGTCCCGGCTCACAAGTGTTTTATAGACTTCGAGGCCTGAATAATGTGTCCATTTTTAGCTAGATCATGTCTTGGAATTTTCCCTTTTGTCCCCAAAAACGTCAACAGCATCTGGAGGTAGGCTATTATTTAATTTTAAGATGCTTTAATTTTTACGTTTTAAGCAAAAAAAAAAAAAACGAAACACCTTGTGATTAGAGTATAGGCTATGTGACTTTTCAGATCGAGACCATTAATTTTCTCCTTTAAATATGTGGATTTCACACAATATGTGTGATGTCAACTAAAAAAAAAACCATAAACATAATGCCTACTTTTTAGATTTTCATAAATATAAATGTATAATAGCCTACATTTTCGTTAACATTTTCTTAATCACGAACCTCCCGAAGAAAGTCGAAACAAAAAGCTCAATGCCGTAAAAGTAAAATTACAATGGCGCTCGCTCACGAAAGTCGCGAATTTCGCTAAACATCGACAAAAGTAGCCTCAGATCGCCTTGTTAAAAAAATTACATCACAGGTATATCATACATTTTTTTGTACTTAAAATTATGCTTGTTTAAAATGCCTTATGTTAACACGACTAACATTGCTATTAGTTTTGCAGAGAGATTACGCCGCGAAAATCGCTGAATAATTACGCCAGATAGGCCTAGAGAAAGTAACTGCATTTTCCGGCGAAATTTAATTAGTGACACTCAAATGTCAAAACAACGTGTCAAAATATCACGAAGATTTTTAACATCCACACAGCGGATAGCCTCGAGGAAATACCCCATTCCCCCAGTTGAAGAAGAAATTATATGTAGGCTATTAACTTGGAAAGTGATACAGGCAGCGCGTTTTTCTAACCCCCACCGTTCTGGAATTCTTGCGCAGAGGAGTTTGTTCTAGATGTCAAGTGGAGAGAGAAACTCTGAGCTGTGAGCGCGCTAGCCGGATCACCCCGCGTCATGGGCCGCGCTACAATTGGCGCACATTATACTCAGTCATTGCAATGAAAACCTTTTCTAGTAGATTAAATCGAGCCCTTTATTCGTCCCCACTTTCATCTCAGGACAAAAACCCGCCCCCTTCCTCTCCGCCCGGGGCGCGCATTCATTCCTCACTGCCCTTTTCCTTCTCTCTTCTCTCTTTTCCAGCACCGCCATCACGAATACAGATCAGTTGGTAATTAGTTTAACAAACGACTGTCGATATGTTGTTGTTTGGAGATGGCTGATTGATATGAACTTTTGAAACACACAACATTGCAAATGCACTGTAAAAATGCTTGCTGCGTAAAAAAGAAAACTTGAGTAAACCCAAAATGGGATGTCATTTGTTCAGCTCCATGTTGCAGAGTAGCTAGATTGGTTTCAGCTCAGACCTTGACATAATTACATCGTATTTGCTTTTTGTAACTTTTAAATATATGCTGAACAACATTCACTCTATATTTGTTCTGCTTAGTTGTTACTTTTTCCAGTTAAATGAACTTCAGCATAACATTTTGTCAGGCATATGGGACTGTTTGAATCACAGTGAGTTTTATGTTGAGCAATCTTTCTGTTTTGTTGACTTTTTCGTGCTGTTTTGCTGTTGATTATTTGTTGTGTGATGATCATCTTAAATGAGCGTTTAAATGAGTGCAAGCAAATTAGGTCAACAAAACTACTCCTTGTGTGTGTTCACGGTGTGTGTGTGTGTTCACTGCTGTGTGTGTGCACTTTGGATGGGTTAAATGCAGAGCACTAATTCCAAGTATGGGCCACATGTCACTTCACTTCACACCAAAAGAGTTTTACTAAGAGCACATATTGAGACACAAAATTCATTATGGCTTATTCTTCTTTTTGTGAAAACAGTGTTTATAGATTTAATATTCAAGACTAAAATATAATTTTTCAGCATTATGGAAACAAGCTAATAAATGAAACATTCATCTAGACCAACTTTGCAAAATACCAAATGATGGAAATAGTAATGATCCCCATAGTTTATTCATTCCACTAATACATGCTCAAAACTCAAGGATAAGCTATTATTTATAGTGTTAAGTTCATTATGAAATTATGTGATTTTCTTGGCAGGAATTATTGTGAGTCAAATGGACTGAAACAAACATCTTATTAAAATGTATTGATGAGTTATTTTTTAACATTCTTGCACAAATATTTTCCATTCAATTTTTAGGGCAAAAACATTAGCTGGTTTCTATGTTGTATTTGTGTACATTTAAACCTGGACTTGCAACAGAGTTACTTAGGTGTCTATTTCTGCATTGAAAAAGAGAAAGAAAGAACAAAACAGTGAATGAAAGAAAGGAAGCGCGAGGGGAAAGGAGAAAGGAAAACAGCCTTTTCAAAGCCCGGTTAATGGTTTTGTTTTCCTAGAAGGATCAATCACCTCTGGCTTTTATTCACATGTAGATGTGTCTACATCATAAAACTCAACGAGTCCTGATCTCCATTGACACACTGTAAACTTCTCCTCTCTCCATTCGCTCTCATCCGTTTGTTTGCAGTGGGCTGATTCTTCACTGGCTGTATTTCACTCTCTCCTCCCTGCTTGTGGGAGTTGTTGTTTTTTCCTATTCGGTGTTCAGATAAATTCTCAAAAGGGTGTTTTCAGAATCAAGAGGGTGTTCTCTAGCCAAATATTGATTAAGTACGTGTTTGCTGAGTCTATAGTTGTCGGGTAAGAGGGGTGTGTTGGCTCTGGGCCCCTGCTCCTTCAAAACCTATTGTTGGGCCCCTTAAAGGCTTGAGATCAAAGCAAAGGTCTCTTCAGATTTATTTGTCTGGGAAAAGCCAGTGTAGAGGACCATTGCTTACTAATACTGGATTGAGCAAACACCTCAAAAGATGTTTCTTAAAACCTGTTTGCTGAGAAAGCTCAGAACAAACATTTGAATTTTTTTTTATATATTTGTGACTTTTTTGAACTCCAGTAAAAAGTGATAATTTATATGAAATCATCAGTTGTTTTTTCCCTGTATAAAAAGAGGAAAACGAAAGAAGAGCCAAACACAGCATCGACGGGATTCTCGGCGACAGATGTAAGTTCTGAGGAGTTTTATGTTTTTTTTATGCGGAACTGAGATGAGCACCATGAGTTTACAGGTATCTACATACATTTTATTATGGATATACAATATTTAGGCCTATATATGTATAGGTAATACAATGTGTTCTACTCCTTTAATAATAATAATAGTAATAACATTATTATTAATTATTATTAATGCTAATATGTGTTCTGTTAAAATAATATTTAATTTTTTTTGGAAAAGTAGCGTAGGTACCGTATGAAAATCGTTTTTAATGTTTCAGTTTGATTCTTTTGCCCCCAAATGCTTAACAGATTGATGGGAAAATGGCTCATGTCTTCAGTATATTTTTAGCGTTTTTTGTGTCTTTCCTGAAACTCGTTGAAACTGAATTGAGGAGCATCAGAGATTAACCTCCTAAAACGAGACGTTCCTGGAGTGAAACTGGCCGAATCAGTAAATCAAACATTTGTCCAAGAATAGCGTTCACTAAAAGACGCTCCTGCGGTGCACAATCGGACACTTGAGGATGAACTTGGGAAACAAAAGCGAAAGAGTCCATGAGACTCACGCTTCAGTTTCCCCAGGACAAAGATCGGCCTAGCAGTAGCTTGGTCCTGACAAAAGACTCCAAGCTTTTCAAAATTTGGAAAGAAAGGAAGAAAAAACGGTCCAACAAAAGGCTAGAGAGGACATTATGGACGGGCAATGAGAGATGAATTATTCACGAATGACCGTAGTCCCGGCTCACAAGTGTTTTATAGACTTCGAGGCCTGAATAATGTGTCCATTTTTAGCTAGATCATGTCTTGGAATTTTCCCTTTCGTCCCCAAAAACGTCAACAGCATCTGGAGGTAGGCTATTATTTAATTTTAAGATGCTTTAATTTTTACGTTTTAAGCAAAAAAAAAAAAAACGAAACACCTTGTGATTAGAGTATAGGCTATGTGACTTTTCAGATCGAGACCATTAATTTTCTCCTTTAAATATGTGGATTTCACACAATATGTGTGATGTCAACTAAAAAAAAAACCATAAACATAATGCCTACTTTTTAGATTTTCATAAATATAAATGTATAATAGCCTACATTTTCGTTAACATTTTCTTAATCACGAACCTCCCGAAGAAAGTCGAAACAAAAAGCTCAATGCCGTAAAAGTAAAATTACAATGGCGCTCGCTCACGAAAGTCGCGAATTTCGCTAAACATCGACAAAAGTAGCCTCAGATCG